GTCCGTGAGAGGTTGAAGTATTGGACCCTTAGGAAAACATTTGGACCAACACCGTTTAGTATCGACCTACACAGTCTAGTATCGATCTAGCACTGTTTGTACGACGATACCTTTGACGGGCCCGCTGCTGACGTCACCAATAGCTGACGTCATGCACACCGTTTGGTACCTGTCGGCTGCTCTGATATCCCAGGCTGGGATCTCTCGTGCTGTACCCGCGCCAGATAACCTCAGCCCTAACTAGGGGATCTCTCGTGCTGTACCCGCGCCAGATAACCTCAGCCCTAACTAGGGATCTCTCGTGCTGTACCCGCGCCAGATAACCTCAGCCCTAACTAGGGATCTCTCGTGCTGTACCCGCGCCAGATAACCTCAGCCCTAACTAGGGATCTCTCGTGCTGTACCCGCGCCAGATAACCTCAGCCCTAACTAGGGGAACTCACTCCCGACTATCTAACAATAGGGTGGTTCAGGGGCAGCAACTCATGGTGCTGTTACAAGGGTGGAAGACTAAACACGTCCCCAACACCCGGCTCACAGCAACACAAACCACGTTCAAGTCACGCTTTTCTTACGGCGGTTAAATGGTTGCTAGCAGTTAGCTGTCCTGTCATAACCTGTAACCTTGACCACTCTGTCCGTTTCTTTTCCAGTACTGTTCCTGTACCTCAAGGTGACAGGAACAAAAGGTGGGGCCTGGTGGGTGGGTGGTAGGACTAGTGGGTGGGTGGTAGGACTAGTGGGTGGGGGCTGGTGGGTGGGTGGTAGGACTAGTGGGTGGGGCCTGGTGGGTGGGTGGTAGGACTAGTGGGTGGGTGGTAGGACTCGTGGGTGGGGGCTGGTGGGTGGGTGGTAGGACTAGTGGGTGGGGCCTGGTGGGTGGGTGGTAGGACTGGTGGGTGGAGCCTGGTGGGTGGGTGGTAGGATTAGTGGGTGGGGCCTGGTGGGTGGGTGGTAGGACTGGTGGGTGGAGCCTGGTGGGTGGGTGGGGCCTGGTGGGTGGGTGGGGCCTGGTGGGTGGGTGGTAGGGCTGGTGGGTGGAGCCTGGTGGGTGGGTGGTAGGATTAGTGGGTGGAGCCTGGTGGGTGGGTGGTAGGACTAGTGGGTGGGGCCTGGTGGGTGGGTGGTAGAATAGTGGGTGGGGCCTGGTGGGTGTACACGATAACCTGTCCATCAAAAAGTTATTGATGCTAACCAATTGGCGAGCTGGAGCTGTTTACAGAACTGGGTCAGTGGGTCACCTAAGGGCAGTAACTGAGAGAGTTAACTCGAGTATTAACTCTAACCCTAACAAGCTTCTGGATTTTTGTGCTGCTAGAGCGGCATCTGGGATTCGCTCGATGTGATGGCCATTGGGGGGGGGGGGGGGGGGGGGGGGGGGGGGCGTGTGGGGAAATAAGTGGGTGGGGGCGGGGAATGGGTTAGATAACACTGACTGGAGGACAAAATAAATATTTAAAATACTCAAAGAGGGGATTCATGACCCCCCCCCCACCCACAACAACACTCACATGTCTGTGTGCTGATGTACCAATGGAAACAACGATCACACTTGTTTAGGTTTCCATGGAAACCGTTCTATTGCTTTGAATGCTGATCTTCACCAATTGAAGTAGAAGAAAAACTAAGAGGTAACTTCTAACAGTCAACCCCCCCCCCCCCCCACCCAATCTTTGCCGCAAAACGGAAAACGAAAAAAATAAACGACGGTAGCGCCCCCCCCCCCTTGTACATTGAGCGGAAAGCGCTGAGCTAGTTCCTCGCACAGGCATGTGAGCTACGTCATACACCCACGCAATAGGTCAAGGTCAGGACGCTAATAAAAGTTTTACGTGTCACCCCGTCCCAGTCATCACAGGCATACATACAGCCATCATTCAGCCATACATACAGCTATACATACAGCCATCATTCAGCCATACATACAGCCATAATACAGCTATACATACAGCCATCATACAGCCATACATACATAAGCCATACATACATAAGCCATACATACATAAGCCATACATACATGAGCCATACTTACAGCCATACATACATGAGCCATACTTACAGCCATACATACAGCCATACATACACACAGCCAGCCATACTTAACCCATACTGTTTCTATATGTAAATATGGCATGTTCAGTGCGATCTTGTGGACGATGCACCATTTAGCCTACAGTGGACGATGCACCATTTAGCCTACACAATGCATTATGTAATCCATATGTGTAGAATAGCAGCCATTCATCTGGCTACATCTGCCATTTTACCCATTTGTTTCCTAATGTTGTCCTGATGTTGTCCTAATGTTGTCCTGATGTTGTCTTGATAACGCCACTGGGACAGCCTTAAGGACAGCCGGCAGATAGCCGGCAGATAGCCGGCAGACAGCCGTCGGTTGATCCAACCCTAGGATTTGGCCGGACGGAAATTCCCGAAAATGAAAGCGTAGCGTGCCCCAAGCCATGAATCATCGCCAGTCTCCCCCCCCCCCCCACTCCCCCATCTCCCCTGCGGTCTAGCCCCGTCCCGCTCCTAAATGTTAGTTGTTGAAACTAGAACCTTCTATCGCAGGGCTGGCAATTTTATTCCAACAAAAACACGGTAAAAATTGTTACAATCCTTGCCATTTGCTTTTTAAAATGTCCACGCCGTAGCTTGATAATATTTAGAAAAATGTCGCGACAGTCAAGACGATTGTCGCTGCCGCTACGACAAATGTCTCCAAAAATATGACCAGATTTTTCAGCATTTGTTGCCGACAACAGAAGCTACTTCCGGTTCGTCCATCTTGCATGACGTGACTGGGAATTCCCGTTCCAAATCTGGGCATCAACGCTGACATATTTGTTGACGTCAGATGGCCAGTGCTACTCTCTAGCCTGTATCAGATGACCAGTGCTACTCTCGGAGGTTGGTTTAAGGTTGTCGGAGGTTGGCCTAAGGTTGTCTATTTTAGTTTGCAAGTTAAAGGTTTAGGACACATGAAACTTTCCCCCTCTATACCCCCACACCGTCCCACGATGAAGAACGACAATCCGGATGTGTCGCGTGTATTATCTGCCCCTGACAGCGTAAAATAGATGGCTCATGAATGTTTCAGCATTAATATCATCTAACCTTCTGTATCGATGTGCTCATGTCGGTTACTGTCTTTGTTATGGATCTGGTACTTATAACGTACTTATAAACTTTAAAGGAATTATAATTTACAATAACTTTGATCCAACATAAACTTTGATCCAACATAAACTTTGATCCAACATAAACTTTGATCCAACATCAACTTTGATCCAACATCAACTTTGATCCAACATCAACTTTGATCCAACATAAACTTTGATCCAACATAAACTTTGATCCAACATAAACTTTGATCCAACATAAACTTTGATCCAACATAAACTCTGATCCAACATAAACTCTGATCCAACATAAACTCTGATCCAACATAAACTTTGATCCAACATAAACTTTGATCCAACATAAACTTTGATCCAACATAAACTTTGATCCAACATAAACTTTGATCCAACATAAACTTTGATCCAACATAAACTTTGATACAACAAAAACTTTGATCCAACATAAACTTTGATCCAACATAAACTTTGATCCAACATAAACTTTGATCCAACATAAACTTTGATACAACAAAAACTTTGATCCAACATAAACTTTGATCCAACATAAACTTTGACCAACATAAACTTTGGTCCAACATAAACTTTGATTCCATCGGATAGTGCAAGAGTGTCACTTCAGTCTCAACTTGTAACAGATACCGGCGGGTTAACTTGTGGTTTAACCGACGGGTTAACTAGTGGTTTAACCGACAGGTTAACTTGTGGTTTAACCGACGGGTTAACTTGTGGTTTAACTTGTGGTTGGCGCATCAACTGATCTTAGTGATGTCTGACCAGTCTTATATTGATCAGTCATATATTGATCAGTCATATATTGACCAGTCTTATATTGACCAGTTTTATATTGACCATTTCGATCAACCACAATAGAATGTGACCTTTGACCCCGTACATTTATCCCTGGTGAAATGGTTCTCATTAAAGTTCTATGAAAGTTAATGCCATCAGCCGTATTGGACTAGGACCTCCCCCTCCCCCCCCCCCCCCACACACACATTGCCGCACGCGTGTGAAAGGTCGCACCACGCGTGCTTTGGTTAGGGTTAGCTCCACTCACGAAACTCAATATGTAGGGCGTGTCGGGCATTCGATGCTACGCTAGTCAGTCAAAAGGTGGGGGGGGGGGGGGGGGGAGTGGCACAGAGCGACTGGTAGGATGGACACAGGCTGTGACACAGGTTTATCACTCTAGTACATGAGCACTAGCACCGTGTATTGGGGAAGGTGTGTGGGGGGTGGGGGGTGAAGTGGTGGGGGTGGGGATGCATGATGTGGGGTGACGAATCTGGTGTGTGAAAAAAACTGTCCACGACGGCTTGCCATTCATCGTGTGTGTGTGAGTGTGTGTGCGTGTGTTCGCGCAGATTAAGTTCATTTAATTAGCATAGACACGAGTAATTAATTAGACGTGATTAGAATTGGGGTTAGGGTTAGGGTTATAACTAGAATGATAGCTGTGTGGTAAAGTCGACGTCATAGACACAAGTGACGTCACACATAAAATGTGTTGATCTTGTGATACACCACGTGATAGACCTTGTTAAGTTGAGAATTTTTTGGTTGTTGGTAGGAAGAAGAAATAGATTTAATAGATCGTCTCTCTATCTGTGTGTCTGTGTCAATAAATGTAGTGTGTGGAACGATAGTCTTCAAGTTGTTCTTTTGTTGCATGAAAGAGGTTTGTTGTGTAAGGACAAGAACGGTATACACCACCCAGCCCCACACTTACCACCCAGCTCCACACACTTACCACCCAGCCCCACACACCACCCAGCCCCCCACACCACCCAGCCCCACACACCACCCAGCCCCCCACACCACCCAGCCCCCCACACCATCCAGCCCCCCCACACTTACCACAGCGTTGACGTGCACCTCCCTGTACCTGGCGTCCACAGGCTTGGCGTGAGTACCAGAGTATCCTACACACGTCATCAGACAAACGTAGACTAGCAACGCCTGCAGACACGCACTGGCCGGACAAATGGACGTTTTGCTTGCACTCTGACGAAGGCCTTTGGCATGAGCTTGGGGACTTGACCCCACAAGCTCAGATATAACCTGCTCATATCCGTTAGAGAGGCCACAATCTTGATTAGGGGAGATCACCAGTAACATGCCTGAAGGAGAGTCATCGTCTGGAAGCGGGTGGTGTCCCTTGTCGTTTGCTGTCAGAACGTCACGCTGCCCGGGGGTGGGGCGGGCAGGACAGAGCAGGCTATGCTTGACTTGCACAGGACGGCACTTGGAACACATGGTTTGATGACGTATGCGGTGTGGCTGGACGGCCAGTTGTTGGACGGTCACTCACTGGACGGTCACTCACTGGACGGTCACTCGTTGGACGGTCTGACTGAAATACTGCAAGCAGTCATGCCTTGACGCAGCTTCCGGTTTGTTGGTGGTGTCTTAAAACTGTGTCAGCACGTTACGTCATGGCCGTCAGCAGACGAACACGTGACCTGGTGCCTGGCACAGATATGCCTCTACAGCACGGGCAGATGGGCAGATGGTCCAGGTTCATGAATCTATCAACAAAACTAAAGTGTGTGCACTCCAACGGCTTTTTTATCAATCGATGTGCGGCTAAAAATAAAACACAACACCCGTTTGATATTAATCAAAGACAATATTAATTAAAGCTAATTATAATTGACGGATGGTAATTGACAGAAACGCCATTCAATTAGATCAGACACAAACACGTGTTATAAACGTTCAGCAACCGAAGAAAATAAATTGAACGATTTCATGAAAAAGATGCCACATGTCATACACAGCACGTGTCATACACAGCATATGTCATACACAGCACATGTCATACACAGCACATGTCATACACAGCACATGTCATACACAGCACATGTCATACACAGCACATGTCATACACGGCACATGTCATACACAGCACATGTCATACACAGCACATGTCATACACAGCACACGTCACACACAGCACATGTCATACGCAGCACATGATACGCCCACAATGTTCGTGAACTTTCCAACACTTCACTTGAAACCGAATAGTTCCGGCACTTCAAATTTCACAAAAACACTTTCTCATGTGAGCGAAACCTTTCCAAATTATTTATTTCGCTTTGTGTCAAACTCGGCCTAACCTACGGCCAAAATCTGGCGACTCTTGCTAGCAGTCGTAGATACATCCAGACTTCAAGTGCGCAGAGTTAATTGGAACAAGTGCCTACCTAAGTCGACTTCGATTCACCCCCGACTACATGTCAGCCCCCCCCCCCCCGACCACATATTAGCCCCACACCCCCAACCACATATCAGCCACCCCCCCCTCCCCAAACCCGACCCCATATCAAATTCCAGTCTTTATCATGGCTGCCCTAGCCGGGACGGAAGGGGCGGGTTGGGTTACGGTTTGGCCTCACAAGTTAATTACAAGAGTTGGTCCACATTGGGACGTCACTTTCACAAGAGTTGGTCCACATTGGGACGTCACTTTCACAAGAGTTGGTCCACATTGGGACGTCACTTTCACAAGAGTTGGACCACATTGGGACGTCACTTTCACAAGAGTTGGACCACATTGGGACGTCACTTTCACAAGAGTTGGACCACATTGGGACGTCACTTTCACAAGAGTTGGACCACATTGGGACGTCACTTTCACAAGAGTTGGACCACATTGGGACGTCACTTTCACAAGAGTTGGACCACATTGGGACGTCACTTTCACAAGAGTTGGTCCACATTGGGACGTCACTTTCACAAGAGTTGGACCACATTGGGACGTCACTTTCACAAGAGTTGGACCACATTGGGACGTCACTTTCACGAGAGTTGGTCCACATTGGGACGTCACTTTCACCAGAGTTGGTTCACATTGGGACGTCAATTTCACCAGAGTTGGTCCGCATTGGGACGTCACTTTCACGAGAGTTGGTCCACATTGGGACGTCACTTTCACTAGAGTTGGACCACATTGGGACGTCTCTTTCACGAGAGTTGGTCCACATTGGGACGTCACTTTCACGAGAGTTGGTCCACATTGGGACGTCACTTTCACAAGAGTTGGTCCACATTGGGACGTCACTTTCACGAGAGTTGGACCACATTGGGACGTCACTTTCACAGGACGTCCGCGCTAGTTTGGTTTTTGTGGTGGTGGTGTGTTTGTGGGCGGTGTTTGTGGGCGGTGTTTGTGAGGTCATTCATTCATTTAGTCACCAATTATTAGCCCAAGATTATCACGTGACAAGCCAATATACAGACGGATGACATCACTTCCGCTGTATTTGTCTGGGCTGGTATTACCGTAATTAGTCATCTTGATTTATAATTAACTTTGATCGTCTGCTCATATGTGTATTGTGTCTGTACACCAGAATGTCTTTCCTCTTCTCATTTCTTAATTAGTGTTAGCAGAGATGGCCTCCGACTTTATTACACGTATCAACTTGTTATGCGCCATGTAGGCCGTTGTATTTCATTCAATTTTATTGATTTTTTTAATGTAACAAATGACTAGAAATTTTCTATAACTAACTGGTTCTAATAACTTTAAGCTGCTTCACACAGTTTAGGTGTGCTGATAACCAAGGCTATGGGGGGGGGGGGGGGGGGGGGGGGGGGGCACAGATCAGGCATAAAAAAATTTAAATGGTACGTGAATCTTTTTAAAAAACCTGATAGGATTTCAGTTCTTCGACACGGTTTCTTTCGTACAATTTTTAGGGGGCTGTCGAACTTTTTATAAAAATTTAGTTTTGTTTCTGTTTTGTCCGGGCGCTGCCTCCCCCCCCCCTCCTCACACCACGGAGAGATGCGTGAAATAATTAGTGCTTTGAAATAAAGTAGTAAGAAATAGTCATAGTAAATTATGCAACGTTTAGATAACATAACGTGACCTCTAGATTAGCGTGACCTCTAGCCTATCGTGACCTCTAGCCTATCGTGACCTCTAGCCTAGCGTGACCTCTAGCCTATCGTGACCTCTAGCCTAGCGTGACCTCTAGCCTAGCGTGACCTCTAGCCTAGCGTGACCTCTCGTCTAATAAGGAACCCTTATAAAAATTGCTATAATGTTTATAAACAAAGTCAACAGCCAAAGCTAGCGACCAGGGCATGCCTACCCGCAGATTGACAACAATTGTGGGCCAGCCAGCGAACGGCGGACTAGAGCCCACATTAGAGCCCCCCCCCCCCTCCCTCCCTTCCTCTCCCCCGGGTGGAAATGTCAACAACCGCCTTCACGTAGAACTTAAAATCTGTTACATAATCCTCCAACTCCCGCGTGACCTTCCGCTGGCTGGGGTCACTGCGGGGTACCCGTCCCCCCACCCCACCCCACCCCACCCCCTCACACACGGGCATTGACAAACTGCAAGTTCAGCAACTTGTTATATCAACACATTCGACAAGTTCAGCAACTTGTTATATCAACACATTCGACAAGTTCAGCAACTTGTTATATCAACACATTCGACAAGTTCAGCAACTTGTTATGTCAACACATTCGACAAGTTCAGCAACTTGGTATATCAACACATTCGACAAGTTCAGCAACAAATGTTCCGCAGTGTAAAAAAAAAACCTAGTACGGCCAGTATTAGTTTGAAGTGAGTCACACCTTCCCCTACCCTCACACCTTCCCCTACCCTCACACCTTCCCCTACCCTCACACCTTCCCCTACCCTCACACCTTCCCCTACCCTCACACCTTCCCCTACCCTCACACCTTCCCCTACCCTCACCACGTCGACACCCTCACACCTTCCCCTACCCTCACCACGTCGACACCCTCACACCTTCCCCTACCCTCACACCTTCCCCTACCCTCACACCTTCCCCTACCCTCACCACGTCGACACCCTCTTGCATTCACACGCCTCGTTATGAATGGGTGACGTCATAATGTAAACATTTCTAAACCAGTCGTTTAGACACACACACACTTTCCCTAACACACAGAGTGACATACATCCAACACGTTCCCATAAGGCGCCATTAAGCAACTTCCGGGTAGCCTGGCAACGTCAACTGACCTCTGTGACCACCTGCCGATTTGACCGCTCATTTGGTCGGTTTCATGAATTCAGGAGCTCAGATTGATGTCAATAGGGCAATAGACTGGTGTAAATAGGGCAAATAGATTGGTGTAAACATCGCAATAGACTGATGTGAATGGGGCAATAAATTGAGAAACGGTGTGAGTTGTGAGAGATCTCACACGCTAGTGAGTGACATAAATTATTTGTTATGACCTTGAACTTGACATTCAATCTCAAAGCCACATCCAATCAAATGTTGGATGAAATCTCAGTTACGTCCCATGCTGTGGTGGATCAAAACCCAGATGGACGGCCGGCACAAGAAACATTGAAATAGTACGCGCCCCCTCCCCCCTAGCCCCAACCACACCTCTCGATAAACTAGTCCTCCCCGCTCACCCCCTCCCCGCTCCCCCCCTTCCCCGCGCCCATACAACGAGATTGCTCTCAGACGGCAACTTATCTCCATATTTCATTGGTTGTCAGCCTGCCTCGCGGTGTTCATTAACTATTCGTCATTAATTAGCGTGACCCAGTTCAGGTCAGACACTCGTCTCCTGGTCATGCACAGTCAGATGTGCTTCACTCACACAGTCAGATGTGCTTCACTCACACATCGCCACACAGTCAGATGTGCTTCACTCACACAGTCAGATGTGCTTCACTCACACATCGCCACACAGTCAGATGTGCTTCACTCACACAGTCAGATGTGCTTCACTCACACAGTCAGATGTGCTTCACTCACACATCGCCACACAGATGTGCTTCACTCACACACCGCCACACAGTCAGATGTGCTTCACTCACACATCGCCACACAGATGTGCTTCACTCACACATCGCCACACAGATGTGCTTCACTCACACATCGCCACACAGTCAGATGTGCTTCACTCACACATCGTCACACAGATGTGCTTCACTCACACATCGCCACACAGTCAGATGTGCTTCACTCACACACCGCCACACAGGCAGATGTGCTTCACTCACACATCGCCACACAGATGTGCTTCACTCACACATCGCCACACAGTCAGATGTGCTTCACTCACACACCGCCACACAGTCAGATGTGCTTCACTCACACAGTCAGATGTGCTTCACTCACACATCGCCACACAGTCAGATGTGCTTCACTCACACATCGCCACACAGTCAGATGTGCTTCACTCACACAGTCAGATGTGCTTCACTCACACAGTCAGATGTGCTTCACTCACACATCGCCACACAGTCAGATGTGCTTCACTCACACAGTCAGATGTGCTTCACTCACACAGTCAGATGTGCTTCACTCACACAGTCAGATGTGCTTCACTCACACATCTCCACACAGTCAGATGTGCTTCACTCACACAGTCAGATGTGCTTCACTCACACAGTCAGATGTGCTTCACTCACACATCGCCACACAGATGTGCTTCACTCACACACCGCCACACAGTCAGATGTGCTTCACTCACACATCGCCACACAGATGTGCTTCACTCATACATCGCCACACAGATGTGCTTCACTCACACACCGCCACACAGTCAGATGTGCTTCACTCACACA